GTCATGAAAGGCATCGTTCAACAATGTTAAATCTGAGATGCATGGCCCTATGTGTTTTATGTGTCTGTGATATGGTGTAATATTGAAGCCCTAAAAAAACTGGAGCTTCAAAATGATCATGAAGTGCCTCAAAAAAGTAAAAAATCTTTGAGTGACCGGTTTTACCAATCATAAATATCTTGATAATCAGACAGGCGATCGGCTTGTAAAAGTCATGGGATTCATTTCTAACCTAAAGGTTTATAACTATGACTGCGGCATGAGCTAAATCCAGGATTTTGTTTCAAAATCTGAGGCAATGTTACCGGGTCACTTTAAGTCTGAAAGAGGTTCAAAAGCCAAATGTTCTATGATTGAAGATTTAATTAGTTTAATACCGGTAGTACAAATAGTGTTTTTATGTAGACATGCAGACTATAAACAATTGAATAAAGTGTGAAAACCATATTACACATGTATCTGAAAGTTTATCAATGAAAGTATACAAGTACTTGAGATAAAATTTTGATTAAATATCTGGTAACATTCTACAAGAAAATGAATGCTACTGCATCTCCAGTATACCTCTGCCTGCATGCATGTTCATTGATTGACAATCCTGTGACCTTTGACATCTGATCTCACAAACCCAACCTAATTAACAAATTAATTTTGTCATACTCAAACATACCTGAGCACACATTGGTTGTAATTGATATAATATCTAATGTTTGTATTGTTCTATAGAACTAATAAATATCTGACTTCCCACAAAAATTGTTGATCTACATGTATATAGGAAACTTCCCCCTCCCCCAACAATTTTCACGGTGTTGCTAATTTCATCAATGCAATCCTTGTTTTCCTCTTTATGTTTCCAAGGGGGTGTTTCACAAAGACTAAGATCAACTTTAAGTTGGACTTAACTATGGCAGGCTGTTCATGCCACTGTTTGCTCTCATCACCGTGATCTTTAGATTACATGTATAATACCTTTTCCTTCAATAATGAATTATCAAAAGTTATAAATTCTGTAGATTTTTTACCATGATTTGAACATCCCTTGAGAGGCCAATGCCAGTAAATGGTGAGAGCAAACAGTGTCATAAATGGCCTAACGTAGCTGCCATAGTTAAGTCCAACTTAAACTAGACAATCTTAGTCTTTGTGAAACACCCCCCAGTCCAGGTTTATATGACAACTTACCCCATTTTGTAGTGATAACCCACCCTTTGAAAAGGATGTCACTTGTAATTGATTCGAAGAAGAAATACATCTTCATGGTGACGTATACTGTTTCAACTATTCACGTCGATATGCCATCTGCTGCGAAACCTGCAATACAAAAATGAAAATGAAAATAAATTAGATATAAATCTCACAAGTACTTGTAAAGGAATAGCATCTCGAAACAAATTGGCTAAGAGTAGACAGTAGGTTAATTGCTTGGGCCAAGAATATACAAAATTGCAAAAAAAAATTGCTGGAAATCATAATTACTAACATGCTCTAGAGTCTACTGACGTCTGTACACTGGAGAGTAAGGAGACAACATCAAATTCAAAAGGGTCAGGGCTCTTACCACCACTGTCATTATCTTTCTTATCAGGTTTTAATAAATTTGCTACAACAATCATTTGGAAACATCTTTCATCTGTAGTCTTGCATACATAATGTAGTGCAAGTTTGGACTGATTCTGTACATCTAGAAGTAACAATTTTCGTTATCAAGGCAGCGTTTCATGAAACCGTCATAAGTACAAGTCCAACGACATCCCATTGAAATGCGTGTATTAAGTTTAACACACGTTTCAATGGGATGTCGGTGAACTTGGACTTATGACGGTTTCGTGAAACGCTGCCCAGAACTCAATAATCCCTAGTCCCACTCAACTCTTACTTTCAGTCTCGGGTTTCGATGACCATTTCCAAATATGGATATTTTACACCTTTAACTTGAAATTTCAAAGTAATAATTTTAAGATTCATTGCTCCCCATCCCACATAACCTAATACACATATGAAAAAGCAATGCTTCTCTTACTAGGCATCTGCGAAATCGATACATGATTACACATGTAAGTAACACTTGACAAATTATACAGCCTACACACAAAACATGGCATGGGCGACACGTTATAGTCTAGTCTTACAATATAGCAAAAGACACAACTCAGAGCGCCACAAATCTTTGGCTGTCATTCACACACTCAAAAACTCATGCTCACATTCACCGAACTCTTCAATATTATAAGATGGAGGCTTCCTACCGATAAATAAAACTGCCACAAATCACCACCCGGATAAACTGATAAATTGACACTCTTGGATCTGGATCGCTCAGCTCAGGTGATAATGATTTGAATAACAAACAAAGTCACATGATTTCCAGGCTAGGTCACAGGTGATCGATGAGCTGCGCTCGCACGCGAAACCTCGAAGGGAAATCCCCACCATAGGATCCCCACTCTCCAAGTGGGGGACCATATCCTCCCCCCCCCCCCCCCCCTCCAGAATATTGAGAATGACCCGACATGTTCGAGTTTATAAGCAACAAATATATGAGTTTAAAATGTACTTTTATATCTAAAGAATTTTTTCATTTATATAAAATGATTTAATATCATCTTTTTGTTTCTTTTTCTTTTCCTCGTTGAAAATTGAAAACGTAAAAATATTACGAGAAATGTAATTTATTAAAGGGATAGTGGAGTTTTGTTGCAGAGGGCGCTAGACAAAACAAAACTGTGAGATAATGAAAAACTGAGTGTCAAATTTGAAAGAACATGACACAATCATCTTTGTTAATAATGATCAAATTCGGTTCAGAGACGGCTGAAATATCCATAAATATAACGATTTCTAATACTGTACCCGTACCACCACCAATATTAGATCATTTGAAAAAGCCGTTGAAAAAAAGAAATAGCGCCTTTTACGTCGTATTTCAGCCAATGCCGATGTTGGCTTTTTTGTTGGCATTTTCGAGTTGGTTATAATTATTAAGCCCAATCAGCCGGCCCAAATTTAATAATTAATTAACGATCACCGTATTTTTTTGAAAGTGGAGCTGAATTGGTATGATCGTATTAATTGGCTAAATTTCAAACATTTTGGGGGTCTAAAATTACCTTCATAGCAATTTTAGGTTCTAAAAGGGCACTAGAAATGTCATAGATAAGAATAAGACCAACAACCATGCACTTTGAAGGTTATTGCGGTCTGAAAACAGAACTCAACTATCCCTTCAAAGCCCTGCTGCACTAGTTTGGCCAGGAGGGATTAGACCTCCCTGCAAGGTCACTGACAGGTGGTTATCTCATCAAATCAGCTCTCAATTGACATAACGAAAAAGGGGGATCAAAGGGGAACCAACGGGCACCGCTTAGGCATTGTTTGCTACATAGAGGGCGCAAGTAGCTATTATGTCCTTCGGAGGACGTGATCGAATCTCTTTGATAAGTAGTGCAGTGGGGCTTTAACATCTCTGTAGGCCAATTATATTCCCAAAGAAGTACGTTCATTTTTTTTTTCCATTTCTCTTTTGCTATTCCTGTTTATTGCAATTTTGATATTTGCACTACACTATCTTTGTAAGCCTTCACAGTAATTTGATATTTTGTATCCTTTGTTTAGAAAATGATCATAAATGTCTGTTCAATAAATTTTGAATTTGAATTTGAATTTAAATATCTCCCCTCCCCCTAACAGTTTTGATGTGCAATGCAGGTGTCTTAAATGATGGATTCTTTCAGGAGCGACCGGGGAGAAATACAGAAAGAAGGCAAAAAGGGAGTATGGGAGAGAGAAAGAGAAAGGGATGTGGAGGGAGAATCTAATTATCTAGAGAGAGAGAGAGAGAGAGAGAGAGAGAGAGAGAGAGAGAGAGAAAGAGAGAGAGAGAGAAAAGAAAGTAGAGAAAATAATAATAATAGAGACAAGATTTCTACCACTACATCCCTTCCTCTCTCGTTTGCTCTTTAGTCCCCTCCCCCCCCCCTTTCTCCTCCCCTCTCTCTCTCTCTCTCTCTCTCTCTCTCTCTCTCTCTCTCTCTCTCCTCTCCCTCTCTCTCTCTATGTCCCTCCTTCACCCTGCTCTCTTCAACTGGCTGCCCTTCCCGCTCATCCCGCACAGTGATGGAAATTGAGTGCCATGGCAACGGCAATGATGCGGGAACGATACAGGAAAACCCCACCGCATCAGGTACCATCTATTATTCCAATCAATGAATTTATATCGCCTGAATATAACGTTTATTGAGTCGTGCGTCGATATCTAATAGAGTATATAGTTTCTCAATCATTGTGACTTCTGGGCGCCCATGACACAACCTCCACAGGAAGGCTATTTTAATATCAACTGGTATTGACATGCGAAAGCTTACCGAAACATATTTTTTCCATTGATTACCAATTAAGAAAGAACAATTTCATGGTACATGTATTTTAGTTCTGTAGGTTTTTTTTCTCTTCCATCCAGTCAGAAGCGATTACCATAAGCCAACCGATCCTGATGTATGAAATGGACTACATTGTTTAGATTACAGCCTGGCCAACCGTTAATCCACTTTAATGTTTTTTCCCTTTATTTTTGTTTCATTGGATCTAGCCCGTGTAATGTTTTGACTAGTCGTTTAAAACAAGCATCTCAGTTTGCAAGACGCTGGAGCAACTCAAACAAAAGGTTTCAAGCAGAGAGGTTCAAGTTACTTTCAAGTTTTACATAAATCTTTATTTTGTAATTTGAAGCCATTGTTTAAGCACGCATCGGCGAATATTAAAACAGTGACACCCCTTACACCGTCATCGACGCTTATCGGACATTGTTCGACTCTCGTCAGCATCAAGAGAGGCATTGTGGTCGGGTTTTCGTGACTCTTGGGGTAAACATTTTCCTCTTCTTTTAAGTTTAGATTTCCGGGGTCGTGTCCTCCCAGCGGGGTATTGACTCTCAAAGGACACGGATACCCAGTGGGTGCTTTCTGCCGTGACCACTAGTGGGTCTGGTAACTTCTTGGTAAAACACTTGTTCCTTTTCAACCAGAGGAAGATGACCATGCTTTGGCAACGAGAGTTTGTCCACAAGTTTCCGTAAGTGATGCCTTTCATCCAGATGCTCGGATTAAAGACTTATTGCAGATCGAGCTCGAGCTTTGCGACACCTTGCTTGGATGCAAATCTGTCAAATTTATTATATACCAGGATTCAGCGTTACGTTATTTGTCTACCAGTATTTATAACTGATGTCTTCGATCATTTTCTATAGCAATTTGATGCTCGACTCTATCACCTTGTCAGTGAGTTAAATATCATTCAATACCACCAGTGTTTGAGCTTCAGAAGTCGGGAATCAATATTTCATCCAACTTTGAGCAAGGTAGTAATTATTTTGCTGACTAGTACTTCAATAATCACTAATTTGACAATTGTCTTAGTCAGTTTGATTTTAACCATCGGATTATGAAATGGTTTGAAACTCAACTCAACTGTTCATAACCGCCATCAGCGTATTGCATTCATATTCATAGTGCTCATCACCATCATCACTTCAGTACCACCGCCATCCGCATCATTGTCAGTGTCGTCATAGCAACGGGATGAAATATCAAACTATTGTCTCTCAGTGTGTCCCTATAGATCTCCTGCAGAGTATACAGGGAAAGGAAACATTATTCTATACCTGCTGTTTTTGACCGTCATACCAACTATTTTGAAACTTTAATGACCAAGTTCACCTTGAGATGTGTGGTTATGATACATCTCTGGTCTGCTGGCATAAACTGCGTTCAGAGAGGACGAAAACGAGGAGTGTATAACTATAAGGGATAGAGAGGGACCAAGGAAAAACAAGACAGTATAGTGGGTGAGTAAAACGTAATGGTTACAAATTTTGTTGGTGGAATTCATGACATGAATCCTTAAATTCATACATAAAATTGTGTCGTTATTTAAAACACGATAGCAACTACTTTCGCCCCCCCCCCAAAAAAAAAAAATCAACCTATATAGTGCGATAGCCTTGTGAGTCACAAAATGACATCAATTTGTTTTTCATCAATATGAAATATTGCTGAAACATAATTTGATTTGTATGTTGCAGAAGAAAAAAAAATCAATTCAATACAAGCAAACATGATAGGGACACATTATGTAATCCGAACATGATTGCTATATGGAACATAGCCTACAAATATATTGAAAGTGAGCTCTAGTTAATTTTTCGAAAATAGTCGCTATCGTGTTGTAAGCAGGGCGGCGATCCCGGGGGTACGGGGGGACCCCACCCCTCCCCTCCTCCTCAATTTATTTTAGGGGAATCATCCTCCGGCAAATTTGCCCTTCAAAAAATGTATGGCAAATACTGACTCAAGACTTGCGACGCACTTTTAGGCTCTGGAGGGCCCAAGAGTGCAGTGTCTAGACTGATAAAAGTGCAAAAATCTTCTCGCTCGATCGCTACGCTCCCTCGCATGTTAACCTTCAAAATACTACAAGTAAGTTTTTTTTAATCTTGTTTTTCGTACCCCCCCCCCCCCCTGGTCATGCAAAGAAATCGCCGCCCCTTGTTGTAAGAATCATTCAACGGGAAGCTTTGCAACTTTTTGAGAACACCTTCCTTAGCTGTTGTCATGTTATTTACTGTTTGTTTCATGCTCAAAAACTATTAAAAGAGTGTCCAAACTGTGATGTAGATGGCATATTCATATTTATTGATGGATCAACACGAAGAAAAGTGGATCGCCCCCTCCCCCTTTATAAACTAAAAAGGTTATATTTTCTGTACCTTACCGAGGGACTGTGGGCTTTAAAAGTATTTTTACACCCCCACCCCCCCCCCCCCTCCCCCGTCCGTTAGGCAATCTTCTTCCCGGTTTTGTTTCAGATTTAATCATGTCGCATATTTTTTCGTCTTGACATTATCATTAGGCCTATCTCATACAAATTTATATACAAAATATAGTGTACAATAATTTTGTATCATCATGGCACGGAAATAATTATCATGGAAGAAAGCAATTGAAATGGATGATATTACGCCGCGATCAAAATCATATTGAAACAAGCATGATCTTTTGAAATAATTTGTGCATCGAATTCACACCACGCTATGTACATCAATATTTTCACACATTCTAAATGTTGATCTTCATGTACATCAATCCAAATTCACAGCGTCCATTTCCACCCCAGGTGAATTCGACAGGCGCACCGGAATACATCCATCCATCTCTTCACAAAAGATTTATTTTTGATCTCCCCTCATTAATTAAAAACGGCTTTCCCGCCATATCGCACATCACCTGATAGGGATAGCGTTCCGTTTCCATAGATACAATGTTAAGGACAGGATGTGCATGACTTGTGATTATTAATGCATTGCCTTTATGAGTTTGCGACCTCGAATAAAAATTGGTTCTGTTAGTGCATTCGGAAGTACATGCGAATAATTTGCCATTGTTGAACAATTTTATAGCAAATTCGTATACATGCTAACGCGCCAAAATTATTGTCTCGCGCACAATCGATTTGATAGTTTCTTGTCGACGTTTTTTTCATTCTGTTCAATAGATGAAAGGTAAACTTTTAAAGGCCTGTTTAATATTTCATTACGGGTTGATCGCAGATGACATTTTAAATAAAAATTAGTCGATATCTCATTTCATCTTCTAAATTGTTATGACTCACTTTGGCGGGATTTAGTTAGGACATGCATGATGCCTTTCCTGTACATTATGCTTAATAATCAAACACAACAAAGCCTCGATTCCCCTTACACAGTTTCCAACCCTTGAATCATGTATTTTATTACGTATATTCGGTATGTTTTACATAATGGCTTTGTGTAAATTTAAACATAATTGTTTACCTATAAAGATAATATGGTATGCTTTATGCTTCTGAAGATGATCACTTTCATCATTAAAGTTATTGCCATTGAATATCACTTTCCTTTCCTCATGTTGGTTATCAATGATCCCTAAAACATGTTTGCTTCGAACGTGCATGGGGAAAAACCAACGTAAATATTGATTCATAACGTTTTCCCCAAACATAATTAGTCGATAAGTACACGGGCATAGTCAATATAATTTGCAATTTAATTAGACAGTGATAACATTGCGTGACGGAAAGCGACTGAATACGCCGGATAACCCACGTTATGGGCGGCTTCAGGATGTTCCAATACCGGGGAGGGGGACGCAAATCCGAAAAATATCCCCGACGATAAAAAATAAAACTGTTATGATAAGTGCCTATTTTGATATAAGTACGTTTTGGTCGAGTCCACCTTAAATCCGACTCATGTTGTCGAAGTAGCTCCTATATTTAGGTATATGCTCTGCAATACGAAATTAATTGTGTTTGCGTGTGAACTCTGGCATGGTAAAATTGTTATATTGTTAAAGGGTAATGACCCCCTATATAGTCTGGATCAGGGTGAAACGTGAGCATAAAATTACCTTTTCGCTGAGTCAGTCCGTACTGTAATAGGTATGCATGATAAATTTGTGAAGTATGAAACGTGCAATTTCACGCTGATTAATAATTTCAAGTTGTAATACATTGGTATCAATTCAAATGAAGGTATAATTTTATCAACAGACTTTTATTGTCTAGAGGCATACAATTCACAATACTCTTCGTTTTATTGATAGGACAAGATTCAGTAAATCATTATGAGGGTGGGAAATGGTGGTGAGAAATGCGGGGGGGGGGGGGTCATGTTCAAGACTTTTGCGATGACTTTATAGCTTCTACCACATTATTAAAGTCTCATTCGCCTACCTCGACCCCCCCCCCCCCATCATGTTCCACCCATCACCCTCTTTAGAGAGATTTTATTTTTAATTGCTCTTCTGTCTTCCTTGCCCCTCTCATTGGTGTTTTAAAATACTGCGGAATATAATATAGATTAAACCGACAGTAATGTTCTCTGCGTGCTCCTCCATAATAAAGGGCTTGTGCAGCAGCATTCTATGATTTTAATAAATAAACACGAGCACAAAAAAACATATAATAAAATATGACAAGGATTAAGAAGAACTGAATGAACCCATTTCTAAATATTCTGTATCATTTTCTTTTGCTATCAACAGGTGCTTATACGAGTTCCTGAATCCCGTCATTCCTGGTACGAAACGATTGCAAGGATCAACACTTTTGAAACTCTAATACCGTCTCCAGATCTGAAGAATCAGGAATCAGTTCTTTAATCGTTTAGTGGTTTCCTCGAAAGAATATCATGTCGGTCGGGAAGTCAGAATCGCTGCTGCGTCGAGACGCTCGCGCATTCTGCAACAAGAGTAACCAGCGGACAATCTGGGAAGCTCGGCGCGACGAACGTCGTACGAACCAGCAGCTCGAGCGAGAACTGCGTCACATTGAGCGATCCAAGTCGTACCGTGAGCGTGAACTAGATCGCGATCAGGTCAAGTTCCTGAACAACTTCGTGGAGATCTTCCAAAGGCAGTGCGACATCGTCGCCCAGCGAAAGTCACACGTCGTCGACGTCGAGACGGTGAACCGAGACGAGCATGAAGACGAGACCAGTCAGTACGATACCTACGATGAGTATCTGGATGGATCAGGACAAGAAACGATGACCATCACGACGTTGGATCAAGTGACGACGGAAGCAGCATCTGGTGTCCAGGACAAAGCTGAGGAGAACCCTGAGATTCTCCTGGTGGCACAGATGAACCGACGAAAGCTACGGATACACAGGGATTCCCTCCTACCCATCATATACTCTCCATGCCCGTCCGAAGATGACTCGGCACCCAAGTTCTCGAGTCGGCCGAATTCACCGAGACCCCGTGTGATAAGTCCGTCCGAAGCCCACTTCAATATGTCAGACCAGGGGTCTGAAGCTTTGAAGTCAGACGAGAAAGTGATGTCTGAAAGGACAAGTCCGGATCAGGATTCTCCTCGAAGTGCTGCCTATCCGAGTTCTCCTCGAGATATCAAGGTGAACGTCTCCGCACCCGTGCTCCGCAGACGACAGCTCAGCCCTCTCAATCGGTTTAAGATCCCTGAATCGCACTTCCGAGCAGAGAGTCCATCCAGCAAGAACTCTACGGTGTTCGTCAACGATGTCCCAGATTTAGGTGGGTCGGTCCGGGGTGACCGCATTTATCGGCGCGGTAGGAAGCCTCAGCCACCGACGTTTAAATCGAAGCTGAGATCGTCCAAAATGGGGCACAGAAACCAGCTGGATTCGCAGAAGAAGGGCCGCGATTCCGGCGCCGAAGGAGGCGGTGGGGCCCCAATGGATGAGATGGCGCTGAACACCAAGTTCATGTTGGAGTTCGAGGAGGCGAGCAGGAACGCGCTCGACCCATACGCCAGCGGGACGGACATCGAATCGATCAGGAAACAATTCCTGGTGAACACGCTGGCCAAGAAACTCAAGATCAGCGCTCTGCGCAGCGGACATTTCGCGGAACTCGACGACATCCGCAAGAAGATCGAGCGGCGAAGAAAATGCGTCGAAGAGATTTTAGAAGCGAAGAGAAAGACGAGGAGGATAGCAAGAGAAAAGGAAATGAAGGAAAACGGGGAAGATGATACTGAATCGAATCATAATCAGAACGAATAGTGTACAGAGGATATATCTTAAAAGAAGGAAAGAACGAGTATCATAACCGGTCATAATTTACAGAGTAAGTCCACTAGCTCTTGAACTAAAGTCTTGTTCAGACACGAAGCGGTCAGCCGCGGCGGTTTTTTAAATATTTTTTATGATGACGTCAAGTGTAATACGCTTCCAAATTTATGTATCTTATAACATAATAGAGCTGTGAATATGCGTAGAACTTTTGTTGCGTGCAGTTACCATTCAATTACATTTTTACATGACTGTATAGTACCAACAAAAAAAATTAAAAAAACATACAGCGACTTTTTTTTTGCGGTGGTTTACCGCGTCTTATCTGAACGAGCCTTAATGAGTGACCCTGATTGGTTGAAAGTAGATGCACGCTTGATTATGGAATCGCGCTTCGTTCTCACTTTTTTATGAAAGATTCCATGCCGATCATCTTCAGACTTGATATTTTGAGAGGAAAAGGAAAGGGAATGGAGAGAGGGGAAACAGAGTGATGCTAAGCAATAGAAGAGAGAAGAAACAAGAGAGATAAAGGAACTGCTCTTCATTAAGAAAAGGATATGCTTACTTTATTATTCTTTAAGGTTATATTCATCTCTTTTTAAAGAGAACGGAGATGGGTAAAGAGATACATTTTGTAGGGAGAAATGTACATTTTTATGTTTGTTATGTTTTTATGAATTGCCAAATATGTGCATCAATGTTCGCCGGTGTAGGCCTATAAAAAACTACGTATAATTAATGGATTGTTGTGACACTATATATATATATATAATTAACAAGAATGGAGATGGGTACAGACTCAAGAGATATGTTTTATATAGGGTGAATAATGTAAGTTTTTAGTTCTCACTCTTCAGAGTAATATTACATTGATGCTACTCAAGATCTTCTCTTTCCGAAAGGGTGACGGATGAAATGCCAAATCAATACGTGCATTAATGTTCGCCAGTGTAGGCCTATAAAATATACGCAATTAATTTATTGCTATGACAATGTATTTTTTTTTTAAAGAGAATGTAGATGGGTAAAGAGACACATTTTTATAGGAGGAAAATTGTACGTTTTTAAAGGACTCATTCTTTAGAGTAATATTATACAGTGTATTGATGCAACTCTAAATCATCTCTTTACAATATTAGGGGTGACTGATAAAATGCCAAATCAATTATGTGATTTGTATTCGCCGGTGTAGGCCCATACAATCTACGCAATTAATGTATTGCGATGACAATGTATACATTGTTTTTAAGAGAATAGAGATGAGTAAAGAGATACATTTTATAGGAGGAAAATCGTAAGTTCTTAATTTCTCATACTTGAGAATAAGATAAGAGTAATATTATATTGATGCAACTCGAGATCTTCTCTTTCCGATAGGGGTGACGACGGATGAATTGCCAAATCAATTACGTGCCTCAATGTTCGCCGGTGTAGGCCTATAAAAACTACGTAATCAATGGATTGTTATGGCAACCTAATATATATATATATACAGTCAAACCTGCTTTGGTGACCACCTGTCTACAAAGACCACCTGTCTACAAAGGCCACATTTGTTGTTTTCCTTGAAAATGGTTTCTCATTGAATCATGTACTAAAGGAACCTGTCTACAAAGACCACCTGTCTACAAAGACCACTTTTTGTGTTTCCCTTGGGTGGTAACTATAGGCAGGTTTGACTGTATATATATATATATATATATTAAAGAGAATGGAGATGGGTTAAGAGATATATTTTATTGGGGCAATAATGTACGTTTTTTAGCTCTTACTCTTCAGAAGTACACTGTACTTCTGAAGAGTAAGAGCTAATGCAACTCAAGATCTTCTCTTTCCGATAGGGGTTACAGATAAATTGCCAAATCAATTATGTTCGTCGGTGTAGGACTATAAAAACTATGTAATTCATGGATTGTTATGACAATGTGTTATGCTAATTGTCGTTGTTATGTTACTGAAATAGCATTCTCCTGAAATCCTTGTCATAAATCAATATTTTGCTCCTATTGCTTATTGAGTTATCTATCATATAATTGCAACTTTTTTTATTTGGAAACTGCAGTCTTAGCACATGTAGATATCTTTTGTTCACTAATTAACATTTTTAAGCATTAGTTAACATGTTAAATTAGATGACATTGATGCCCGATAAATTGCCTAGGATAGATTTCAAACTATTTTATTTTCAAGGTATATTGTCTATCTGATGGGTTTTCTTTAGTTTTCAATGAACTGAAATAGAATTTTATTCTTCCGATGACACAGATTTTTTGAAAAAATTGTTCAAAACGTGTATATTATCAAGTCTATGTAGACTGTCTCTCTCTCTCTCTCTCTCTCTCTCTCTCTCTCTCTCTCTCGCTGTCTCTCCTTAGCCATCCTGAGCCATCTCTCTCTCTCTATCTTTCCCCTTTCCCTTTGGACCCTTATCAACTCTCCCTATATTTCTATCTTTTATCCGTTTTATGAAAGACTAGAATGCAAATATTTATAATTGTATACTATGCAATGAAGGCACTTGAAATAAAACTTCACAAAAGTACCTCCTGATCTTCATGACTTTGTGCACATATTTAAGTTTGATGTTTTGATGGTGTATCTTGTTTCCTAACCCGACTGCTAAGAAGTTTGTGTATGCTTATAAGTAAGCAACCACGGGACTGACAGCCTTAAGTCAACTCCGAGGGACTTGGTAATGACAATTAAAGCCTGCAAAATATGCTTTACATTTCTGTATCTGACAACACAGACCTACATGTAAAGTGAATACACGCAAGTACCTTAATTGTGCACAGGTGCCATTTAGGTGCCAAAACATGGGTCGGTCGGTCGGTCGGTAAGAATTTTTTTTTTGTTTAAACTTTTTTTTCTTTCTCCCTCTTTGGGCTGATATTTTGATGATGCTTTAATATTTTTTTTTTTTCACTAAAAAACGGTTTAATTTTTTTTTTTAAAGCCGACCGTAGATTTCAAGATTTTGGGGTCGGTCGCCAAGGGCAATACAACATCTTTATTTACAGGTAAAAAGACCACATCATATCTGAACAAGACTTCATCCCCTACCAAAGGGCAATAGCGTATTGACTTGGTTTTGAATCTGGGACCTTCCCATTTATGAGACCCCTGCTCTACCACTGAGCCATCACTCCTAGTTAGTGACACAAGGGCCCTCTGCGTAAACATTTTGTAGCTGATTTATTGTAAAACCTTAGCACTTTTGCCAATTATACAAAGCGTCCAGGAGGGTGTTTCACAAAAACTAAGATCAACTTAAGTTGGACTTAACTATGGCAGGCCGTTCACTCTCACCATTATGATCTTTAGATATTTTTCCTTCAATACTAAGTTATCAAAAAATGTAAATTCTGTAGATCTGTGACCATAATTTGTATGTCCCTTGAGGGACCAATGCCAGTAAACGGTGAGAGCAAATAGTGGCATGAACAGCCTGCCATAGTTAAGTCCAACTTAAAGTCGATCTTTGTGAAACACTCCCCAGATTCATGACAGTTTCATGCCACAGGATGATTGAACAACAATACTGAATGACAAAAACAAGAACTCTGAATAACGTTTTTATCAAATATTAATATAATTTCTCATATCTTTACAAGAATATAAAATACTGATGTATCACATTTCAAGTTCTTATTAAAAACACATATTAATTAAGTTTGGATTTTCTCTTTGAAATAATTTCACACAAATGAAATGACTTTCAGCCATTTGATGAATACACAATCACACATTCAGATCCACTCTGACAAATACTGTTCAAAATTGTTAATATTTTTACATCTGCTTAAAAAAGAATTACATTAAGTATAGTTCAATTCCATTCTTCAATAGAGCTGCTTACTATTAGTTTTATGTATACTCTTTAAACCAAAGTTTTGGTTGACACCTAAAATACCTTGCCAGACTCTTCCCCGACATAGCAACAACTAATGTATGCAAAGTGGATTCCATCCATAGAGTTGCCATTATTCACATTTGAAAACAAATTTTAAAAGTATTCAATTAACAATAATTGTATATAATAACATTGGTTTAAAACGTGACAATTGAAATACCCCCCAAAATAAATAAATATATAGACCGGTATATATATATATATATATATATATATTTATGGAGGTAAATCAAAGAATCTAGATAAATGCCGAGGCCAACTATCATAAGCATGAATGCTTCACAATGTGAAAGCAGTTATTGAGAATGGTTTTTATTGCATGGTAAATTAAAATAATTGAGTGTTTTGAGGTTTTAGAATCATCAAAATGATACCAATATATATACATCATGCTGTAAATCAGTTTTGAAAAGCCCTGCACAAAGACATTGGTATATCATGTACAGTGAAATCTGTCTATTAAGGTCACCCAAGGAAAACAGAAAAGGTGGCCACTGTAGACAGGTGGCCTTTCTAGACAGGTTCTACAACACACATTTATTTCTTGAGAGAGATAGAATACATGGCCACTGTAAACAGGCAGCTATTACATAATCGAGGCAGCCACAAAGACATGTTTAACTGTACAATGTATATGGGAATGTATACTTTTCTGGCATCAAAGTTTTATCCTCAACCACAACTCTACCTCTCTGTATCTATGTTACAAATATATTACTACAGAAGTTCACTGTACTTTATCTCTAAAGAGACAAAATACATGGCCACTATGAACAGGTGGTCTTTATATAGAGGCAGCCACAAAGACATGTTTAACTGTATATGGGAATGTACATTAATGTGGCATCAAACTTTTATCCTCAACCACAACTCTACCTCTCTGCATGTATGTTACTAATATAGTACTACAGAAGTTCACTCAACTTCATCTCTAAAGAGACAAAATACATGGCCACTATGAACAGGTGGCCTTCATATAGAGGCAGCCACACAGACATGTTTAACTGTATATGGGACTGTACATCCTTGCAGCATCTAACTTTGGTCAATATACTAGTGCTACTTGCAGTCATATTTGGAATACTGTATAAGGTCATTTCCAGAGCAGTCCTTTTCGTATTATATTGCTACTTTGCCTATTCCACATTGCTTACAACTAGCCATTATCCAAGTCTTCCCCGAGGAGAATCATGGACAGGATAGTCAGTAATTTTTCCGTCTCATCTGCGCCGCTGATAAAGCACCTAGATATTGGTGCTCTACACCAATTGGATACTATGATATCCTCCTAAGGCCAAAGGGGAATATATAATTATGCCCTAACCATAATTTGAACTTCTACTTGACTACTTTATCAATATAAATATTACCACGGAAGTTCACTTTACTTGGAGGATGGCCATCATGATGTCAAACCCATCGCTCTAAGGAAGACCTGAGGGTAGTAAAATGACAGAGACAGTGGTATTACTCGGCCTAATCCTTCACAAAAATACAAATTAGCGATACCATGCAAGGTGTCCTTAACAACACTTTTCTTTTTTCCCTCACTTTACATGTATTTCATCGAAGAATGAAAAATCTCTTGAAAAAAAATTGTTTCATTTTATGTTAGAGATTCTAAGAAGACCCATTAGAGTACACAATCATGTCACTGTATTTTATTTCTTTTTCATGAAATAAATGGATAAATTAAATAAATCATTAACCAAGAGTGTGACATGTTACAGGTAACTGGAGAAAACCTTCATTTTGAAAACTAATGGGTAATTTGTATGTGTCGCATAAAGGATCAATGACATACCTTTTGAAATGGGCAGTTTTCATCAGATAAGTCTGTCATCTCCTCAAAATGATCTTTACCAGGTAACGTCATCGTCTCAACATCTAGTCCAAGAGATGATAGTAGCTACCAGGAAAGAAAGATGAAGCACTTTGTTACCATCTTATCCACAGTTTAATAATGTCATATTAGAAAATATATCAGGGCCCCATCTTATAAAGTGTTGTGATTGATCCAAATCAATCGCAAGTCCTCCAATCAATCCAAATTTGCAGTCTCTTATCTCTTATGTATATAGTTGCGAAGTTTGTAATGCCTATTGAGCAACATGAGCGAATACATCTATCATACAAAATATTCATTTTGAGTATACCTTAGATGGATATGAAGATATAAAGAGGTACAGTTGACAACTCAAATATTCATACCCCTTGTAAATTTTACTGAAAGGTGGACTGATTGGATTAGGGCCTTTGAAGAATATTTTGATATGTAAGCTTTCATATGTCACTTTCTCACGAAACACCAATCGAGGTAAATCAATTTTTCACACATACATGTATATACAAGTACAGAGTTTGGTAAGGTTATGAATAATTTAGTCGTTAACTGTACATCACTTAAACACAACAAAAAAATTCTCATTTGATTTAAAGAATAAGACAATCTAAAATTAGTTCATGAATGCAAATTCAAGATGCTAGCTTCAGCCCATGCATACACAGTATAAATGCACTGATGTTACCGCTATACACACACTGGAGCACATTGCATAAACCGTTATACATCTGCATAATATTGATAAAATAACAATGCAACACTTTTCACGGACTAATTTTAGAATAAAATCATTGCCATTCTCTGAAACATGAGCTCCAGTGCAAGAAATAAAGAATAAAGGTAAAACTATGGACAACACACACTACCAACTACTGGATACTAACTAGTAATTAAGGTTTAAAAAAAAACAAGACTGTTCAACCAATCACTTGATGGGGAGTTTAATTCCAAAAGGAGCTAAATCCATTTTTGTAACTTGGGAGAAAAAAGAATTTGTTTACCAGATTATGTACAGGCGTCTACGGAAAAGTGATATTAGAAGTGCATTTTTCCTAATTGCTCCCAAAATTTAGGTAAATTCTTTTGTTGAAAGACGGGTACTGAAGTAAACAATGTTCAATAACTCAATTTTCATCAAAGTGGATTTAGCTCCTTTTGTAATTCAACTGTTCATATTCAAAGTAAGGCAAGTTCATAAATTGCAATATAATTACACCATACACACCTTGCTGTAGTCTTGTGCTTGTATTTGAAGAACAGGTGGATCATACTCGGCTACCAGGATGTGAACTTTGACCTCAAGATTACATTTTGGGATAGCATCCACAAGAAGAAGAGGGCTCACAGAAGATGCACTAGACCTGCAGAACGATTAAAGGTAATCATCAGTTCTGGGAATCATGGAAATTCTGAAAGAATCATACAAATCAAATTCTCATCAAATGGACAAAAATGTCAATGAATTTTTTGGACTAAAAGAAATATTTGCCAAAATACAATGTAAAGGTAGATGAACAGGAAAAATAATAAAGAAATTAAAATCTTTTAATCTGGTAATGCCGGGAATTCTAATACAATCAAACAAGCTGTTCCCTGAATCATAAATATCTGATATCTACCAAAAGGCTATGATAAAAGAAAGATAGAGAAAACTACTGAGCTGCAAAATAATACATGAGTAACAAGCTTTTCCATATGAGTAGTAGAGATTAACATGATTTCAAGAGGCGGAAAGAGGGAGAATCATCAAGTGGAGATTAAAAATAAAGTATAAAGGCTTATTTAGATTTGAACCACAATTATTTTTACAGTGTAAAATAAAATATAACTGCAAAAAGCAAACACAAACAAAACAACACTTTAAAACTCAAACGCATGGGGTGGCTTACATTTACATTTTCACAAAATCACAAGAACATAAAAGGCTGATAATACTTACTCTGTAAGTAACAATGGTTCGTTAATGTAAGTTTTTGTAATAGGTCGAACATCATATATACCGGAAATAGGAAGGATACCTACAGTCAAAAAATAAACAACAAGACAAAACAAGACATAATTACAGGTCAACTAACGACTATGATCTTTGACCTATGGCATCAAGATTATTTAAGTGTATCCAGTGCAAGATTAATCTATACTGGTGTTAAAGTGGATTTCATGGAGCTAATCAAGACCGAATAATAATACTTTTGCAAAGCCATTGTGTTACACAAAGCAATCCTTCCGTCAACTGGTGCCTATATGAATTGTTTTGTGCAAAATTGCACATGTAGCAAACAAGGGACCATGCCGGCAGAGAGGCAAAGAAAGCAACTAACGTGTTAATTAAAACCCAAATTGCAACCAGAAATCTAACCATATACTTTTGGCAAAGCTATGCCTGGAGCAACTGTTACTGGATCCAATTTTGGAAGATTATATTTGACCATCACCTTTGACAACATTCTTGCTGCCCTCTAGAAGGCTTGACCAGTCTACGGACAGCATCATGGCCGCCAGATGACCACCAGCTGAGTGACCGGATATGAAAATCCCTCTGTGAACAGAAAGATATAAACAATTCAATTTGAATTAAACAGACATTTCATTTTGAATTGAAAGTAAATTCTGTATCCCAATTCAGGAGTTCCATTGTCATTCATAAGAAAGTACACACATATGGCAAGACATAGCATTGTGGTTGTGGTTATTTTACCTGACTGCTAAGAAAGCACAAATGCTTGTTAGTAAGCAACCAGACGGCCGACGGCTTTAGGTCCTCTCCGAGGGACCTGGTAATGAGGATTAAAAGGGCACTAGCGCATCGACTTGGTTTTGAACCCGGGTCACCAGATTACGAGACCCCTGATCTACCAACTGAGCTATCGCGCCTCCTCTCGGTTGACAAATAAATGAGCCACCATTATATTGTACTTGACAGCTACAACTTCATACAAAACAAACAGTCTACATTTCATCACACTAAGAACAAGCTCTATTTTGGTGGATTATAATGAATAAACACACAATGTTACTTCTCCATAGTCCAAAACCTACTCTTCCATTACTTATTATGTTCTTATCATTTCATTTCTTCTGTACTCACTTCTTGATTTTTTTTGTATTTCCACAGCGCTTAGAGACTTAATTGTAATTTGCGCTATATAAAAACTGAGTATTATTATTATTATTATTATTGGGCTGGAATAAATTTAAACAATTAAATAATATTACCTCAATATTACCTTGTAAGCTATATAGTAATCTATTGAACTCAGAGCAATGTATTGTTTGTATGCCAGCACACAGTCCCCCATTCCATGAGTAATGGTTAAGAAGAATTATTTCTAATCATTTTTTTTTTTGGTTTCAGTTTGAGCCATTCTGTGAACTCTAATAATAAAACAACCATAAATTTAAAAGCATAACGCAATCACAGAAATTTACAAGTAAAACCTGTTCACATACTTGTATGACGAAGCACACCACAAAGGTCAAAGTGAATGGCAAGCTAGTGTATGAAAAAAATGCAGTCACACACAACAAAGGTCCTATGCATAGTTTCTTATCTGTGTGTTAAAAGATACTGATCTGTGAAGAAAACTACGCCTATCTATCTCATGTTGTTTTTTTTTCCTCTTACCTAGTATCTGGAAATCTTTTGGCCACAAAAACCACAGCCTTTTTAACCTGTTCGACCATTTCATGTAGAGTACCTGCAAAATCAAAAAAGAAATATGGTAATCTTTCCACAACAAATTTAAATCCACTGCTTTAGCATATTATGTGCTCACAGTTCTAGGTATTTGTCTAGGAGAAGACCATTTAAAATGAATGAAATGAACTAGAATTTAATAATAACTAATTATTTATTATGAAGTACCGGTAAGCTTTTAATGACTTGTGGAAAAAAAGAATGTTGATTGAAAATGTAAATGTAAATGGTATTGAACAATGATAGCTAACTACCTGTACTAGTACTCTAGAAGAAAGCAGAAAAATCAAAAAAGCATACTGGTGAAAGTTTGAATGAAATCTCCAAAATGGCAACACTTACACTCAGGCGCTAAAGAGTATCCAACGGTGACCAATACGGCACCATTCTTGACGAGCGGAGCTCCAAGTAGAGAGTTATTATCCTTACTGGCAGCAAAAAACAAACAGACAAAATGTCAAAGGTCACATTGAGAGAAGGGTTATGTATGATAAAACTTGTTAAGAAGAAAAAGTTGCAACGACTGAATGAGTAAAGTCAACCTACAAATATTTAACCTGGCATTATATTGGTTAATACAGTTTAAAAATACGGAGTAAATTAAAGTAAATAAAGGATAACTTTAAATATGACGTACGAAACTCAACCGAGTCTAACTTCGTTTCCGTCTTCAACCTATTTCTACTGCAAGCATGTGCGTACGTGTGTGCAAGTAATTGTGTTTATACAGACGTGTATCAATGATTATTTACGTCTGGGGACCGACCTTTAACATCACCAACTGAAAGACATGACTCAGTTTCTAACCGGGGTCGCCTGAGTCAGTTTGTAGGCGTAGACAGAGAGCTGACCAAGTGAAGGTGCCACTAGAGCAACCGACATGTCCAGGTGTCGATTAGACTAATCACCAGTCATTTTTTGTGTTTATTGAGATTATATTTGAACTCACAATATCTCTTTATAGAAATGATATTAAAAGCCCAAATTTTGAATAACAACATGGAACCCCTAACACACATACAGAGCAAAAAAAATTATTGTGAATGGTATACTTGTGGACAAGAAATTCACCTTAATTGCTCTGCTTGCCAGTAGCCTCCATGTAGAAACATAAACACAGGTGCATCTGATAACATCAATTAAAAAAGAAGGTCATTACATTGATTAATGTGACATAAAAATCTTGATAGCCAATGCCATTTACTGGGCCCCATTTCATAAAGCTTGTTATCTATAACAAAATACAATAATTATGATGCGCTACTTAAAGGGATTGGGTATCTTTGTCTCAGATTCTAAAACAAAATCCTGGATTTAGCACATGATGCAATGACAATTATAAACCTTTAGGTCAGTCAGGAACCCCACGACTTTTACAAGCCGATCACCTATCTGATTATCAAGAACTTTATGATTGGAAATCGAAATTTCAAAAAACGTTTTCTTAACGTTTTTTAAAACACTAGAGTCTATTGGGGAAAATGAATACCGTTTTTGCCGGTGATAAGGCCGCACCCCCGATTTGGGCATTAAATTTTTATTTTTATTTATTTATTTTTTTTTAAATTGTCGAAGGTGGGATTCAAACTCTTGCGTACAAATGTAGATTGGGACCCGAAACCACCGCCTAGGCTATCCCGACTATGATGCTTTCCCATGCAACTTTCTCTTATGTATTGCATTGCACCATAGCTTTGTTCGCATGATCTGAGGATTGAGGTTGCTTTAGCTATGGCAAAAACTTAGGTCTAGATCTGCCAGTAGAGTTTGGTTGTTAAGTTATAAGTTTTATTTACGAGATTGACAAAACGTAGCCCTTCATTTAAAAAATATAACACATAATTGTCGGTAAGAGATGTGTTATTCTAGAAATGTCCATCACCTTTCATCATTGTCCCGTATGTACAAATTCGTGTTTTTGACTTGCGATCTTTTTTTTTTTACTCTTTCGCCGCCAAGGCCGCACCCCAACTTTTTGATATTTTCTCTTCCAAAAATACTGCAGCCTTTACGCCGACAAATACGGTATGGTAAATCGGTCGCTCAAAGATTTTTCCTTTTTTTACGCACTTCATGATCATATTTTGAAGATAATTTTTTAGGTCTTCAATATATCACCATATCAAAGACACTGGTAACAGGTGTAGGGCCATGCATCTTAGATTTAACATTGTTAAACGATGCCTTTAAAAACTATGTAATACCTTTATCAGCTGATTTTGGTGAAAATATGTCTACTTTCTCCCTTTCCTCTGCTCCATATTCTAAGTTTAGCTGTGATTGGAAAGCACCCTCAGCTACAAAATTTGCTGATTCTGTAATTAAATGAACATTAAGAAAACAAATTACTAATCAAAACACAATACATATTATTATGAGTATGACACAGATTCTAATAACCACAAAAACACCCAACAGCAATTTATAACAGTGTTATCAGTAAGAATAGAAATAACAATAATAATAGAATAATAATATTTAAAAAGAATAATAATAATAATAACTATAATATTGTGGGTTTAAACTTTATGTGCACAGGGTAGAGCCTCAGTTAAAATTATAGCTCCTCGATGATCGTGAAACTGTTATTGTACTGTGCTCCTCAACTTTGTATCAGGGATAATGTAAATTCAAGACCATCTTTGGGGAATAGTTTAATTAAAGCAGGACTACACTACTTGTAGCTCTTTGCACCTTCTATAGTAAACAATGCCTAAGCGGTACCCGTTGGTCCCCCATGGTCCCCTTTTTGTTATGTTAATTGAGAGCTGATTTGATGAGATAACCACCTTCTCGGTGACCAGGCAGGGAGGTCTAATCCCTCCTGGTTAAACTAGTGCAGATAGGCTTTAAACCATGCCCCTCAAAGCAATCACTATTTGAACACTAGTAGAGGAGGCAAGTTGGCTCAGTCAGTAAAGCGTCTGCCTGTCGAACCAAATATCCCAGGTTCGACCCCCATCCAAGTGGATGACTGAAGCCTGCGTTGTGTGTTAACGTGCCCCTTCCCTTGTTCATAGACGCAGGCTATGTTAAGTGGAAAACACTCTGTCCCTCGGATAGGACGTTAAATGGAGGCCCTGTGTACAGGAGAGTCACCACCTTTGCGCGTTAAGAACCCATTGCACTATTCGTATAAGAGTAGGGGGAAACCCTGGTGTAATGGTCCACCTGCACACCCCAATCAGGCCAAGTATATACGGCATCTGCAAGAATCTTCAGTATTGAAGGAGGCAGATTATCTTGAAGAAGAAGAAGAAGACTGATTTGATTACCTTCATCACAACGTTTGAGGAAATCTTCAATGATCTCATCTGGGCTCAGCTGATGCTTACACCACTTGCTGCAAGAAAAGGCCACACCTAAATCCTGATAAACAAATGAGAAAACAGAAGAAAAATGTTTGATATTGATTGCTAAGATTTGATATTCTTTGCTAAGAATGCACCATGGACTGGAGTCCATGATACTGCCTTTAAATGAGGGATGTACGGTACTAAAATTGTGCTTAATTCTGAGAAAAATACATCGCACAGTTCATTTTAACACCAGGCAATGGATGATCATATACTATAGCAATAGAACTTAGTGTGGTGGTGGATGTTATTTTACCTGACTGCTAAGAAATGCTTGTTTAAGCAACCAGACGGCCGACGGCCGAAGGCTTTAGGTCCTCTCTGAAGGACCTGGTAATGAGGATTAATGCCTTACCAAAGGGCAATAATGCATCGACTTGGTTTCGAACCCGGGTCACCAGATTACGAGACTACTGCTCTACCGACTGAGCTTCTTCTTCTTCCTTTTCCTCTTCCTCTCCCCCTCCTTCTCCTTCACCTAAATTCTCCTTCTCCTTCTTCTTCTTCCTCCTCCTCTAGAGTCTACTACTACAGCCACAAAGCCATCGTCCGGTGTATTCTCTATATTATTAAAGGTACTGACCACTGTCAATGTGCAAGCATCTCAATCTAATTACATTTGAAATAATGGACTCTACATGTACTATGTAGCTGTAGGTCAACTACCGCGCGGCGTTTCTAAAGAAATGTACGTACCTCGCTGTTTTCAGAAGACCTTGCACTTGCAGTGTCATGATCTTTGACTTTGCCTTCAGACACTTCAGCATCTAGATCTCCTTCTGAATGTGGCTTTGGAATCCCCATGTTGTTGTTAGCACAGGCTTCGACGTACTTCTATTTAAATCATCAAACAACTATCGCAGAACGTGTCGAATGTCATTCGCGGGAACTTCGGACGTAGAGCTATGTAGAGACGTATAGCGTATGTGGAAGAGAAGTACCGTATCGATCTCTGTACAGCCAGCCAGCTATCTAGATCCTCGAGTGTCATATTGATTGCGTACTGTGCGTCTACACGAAAGGATAATTTTTTTCAGGAGCTTATATAGGCACATGTTGCACGCACGCTTTGGGGAACATGGTTGGGGGAATCCCCGACTACAGGGCAGCGTTTCAAGCAAGCGTCACAGTACATCGACATTCCATTGAAACGCGTTTATTGTTCATTGGATGTCGGTGAACTTGTACTTACAATGGTCTCGTGAAACTATGCCATAGACATATGTTGGGGGAGGGAGGGGGGGGGGGGGGCCGGGGGGTGTCGGTGCTTGTGTAAAAGGGCGCGGCCGGGACAGGGTCCAGCTCTAGGGCGACAATTTTTTTCACGGCCGGAGAGTCGCGCGAGAAAGGAATGGGGGGGGGGGGGGGTGGGGGGTAACTTGGTTTATTGACGCCCCTACCGAACTACAAGATTTTTACTTTGCAGTATGAAAACTTTGAATTCGAGTGACTTCCTCGGTAATTCATGTTCATTATTTTGTTCACTGACCTAACAAATTTAGCGGTTTGGAACTTTGGTAATTTTTAGAGCACTTTCGATTCAACAGGCAAATCTTAGTCTTATCGTAATATCCACAATATTTCTCATAGGTAATCATCATTTAGATAAAGAATTTTGTTTTCTTAATTCGGGGGGGGGGTGACCCTTTTGAATATTACCAGGGAGAGCCCCCCCCCCCCCTCCCCTGCTGACCCTATAATATGTCCAATTGGGCGTGTATACTTCTTGTACTATATCTACCTATGTAATATACCTGAGTGTAAATATACCAGAATATTTTCAAGTTTGAATTGTGAACCTTGGCATGTTAGACGACTTGCATGAGAGCCCTATAATAGGGTGTTGCAGCCTTTGCTTATTATAATGTCTATATTGTTTGTTTTCAAATCTTTATTTATTTTATTCTTTCTCGAAATTCCGGGATGGGGCTTATAATAAGGGCAAATGATTTTTAACAAAAGATATCGACGTGCTCACACCCAACCTGTTATTCCACTAAAGCAAATCCCTGAAAATTAATGATTTATACTCCTACAATCTTGGTAATTTTATGTATCAAGTTGAGATAAACAATCTACCAAAAAGATTAAACGGAAATGTTTATTAAAAACCAGGAAATTCATAACTACCCAACTAGGAAGTCGAATCATTTTCACCCCCCTCGCACAAAACAGTTACTTTACAAAAATCATTCATTTATACTGGACCCATACTTTGGAACTCACTCAACCCGGCTCTCAAATCAACCCCCACACTTAACACGTTTAAACGTAAACTCAAGCATTTCTTGTTGAATACCTACGACAAACATGATACCTAAACATGTTACCCCTAACATCTGCTTTTCATTCATTTCACTCTCTACCACCGGTCAAAGACGGCTTTAACCCTATGCCAATTCTTCCCTGATATCTCTGCCCCTCCCTCTATATAGCTCTCTCCCTTTTCCTCTTCTTTCCCGCTTGTTCACAACGTTCTCACTTGTCGTCCCGTATTTTTATTTTTTCATATTGCTTTTTGTTGTTGTCGTCTTCTTCCGTTTTTTTTTTGTTTGTCTTACTTTCCATTCTCGTTAATCATCTTTCCTTATGTACCTGTTCTCTTTTCTGAAATGTTTTCCTTGCAATTATTCTTTCTCTCCACACAGTAGTGCTAAAATAAGCACTGATCATTTTATCTAATGTATATATATATATATATTTGTTTATGCTGAGGATTAAAGCACAGAACTCTTCCTTTTTTCAATTGTTTACGATATGTTTAGTAAAATGTGTCACTTAAAGATAACCCTCGTGTAATCATATATGCTTTTGTAAATATTTATGTTAATTCAGATACCCTAATTTATATATAAACATATGAACCGGGACCTACATAATACAAGCATTGCTTTTTAGTAGATCCCCCACTTTATTGATTGATTTATATGATTGTTTTCTCTGTTATAACTATTACCATGTACATTATGTTTTCTACATTGTATGTTTAGTTATAATAATGACCATTGTTCATTATGTTCAATTATGTTATCTTTGATAAAGTGGAATAAATAAACTTGAAACTTGAAAACTTGAAAAGATCTAGCAATAGCTTCATTACAAATTTACATTCAAGTTCAAGTAAAATGAAATCCTATTATAATACATATAGGGTTATCAGAAGAATATAGGTATGCTAAATAAAAACAAAACCGCAACAAAACAAAGGCGAATTATATTAAAACAATATATCGCACATACACTCGAGAAAAAGTTAAATAATGTTGATATCATCAGAGACAAAACAATTAGTCAATTACTATGCCAAAGACTAAATCATGACAATAGAGGCATATGGCAGATGTAAATAAAACCTCGATAAAACTAAGGCAATTCACGGCCCGCTCTAATTGGGGGGGGGGGGGGGGTTAGAATCATCAGTCTCACAATTTTGTTGTTGCTAAACCATCGTAAACCATGGAGGGACGCACTACCCCTCCTCCACACTCGTGGATAAAAATAATATTCTATACGGGCTGCATCTTTTATAATTCCTCTATCAATATAAGTAAGCTATAACATTAATATAATAATAAAAATTGAAAGAGTGAGTGGCGGAAATGATTGTTCTTTGTTAATCCGACTGAGTACCATTAAACAAAAGCCGACAAAAGCCCAATGCCACCATGGGCAAAAACCCTGATAATTATTGCTGTGCTCCTTTAAAAACCCCTTATTGTAATGCAAACACATTTCGGCCTCTGGAGCTGCGTCGTACATACTGCAGGGATCAGTGAGTGACACTCTCTTTTTCGGTGACATTTGTTTTGTATACGCTTTTTTTTTTGTATTCTCTAATGCAGTGTAGCGGACTTTACTGTCGGCTTCAGCAATGTCAACATTTTGTTAATTCTACAGATTCTCACCAGATTAGTAAAAAGTTCCAGAACATTCCAATTAAGACTAAAAATATGATGAAAATACCTCCTTTTGTTTGTATTAAATGAGTAGACATCCGCCGAAAACTGTCATAAAAGGTTCTTGGTAACATAGCATGTTTGAGTTTGTACATAAATAATGAAGTACCTTGAGAAAGAATATCTGGAAGTTTAAGTAATTTTAATGATTTAAACAATGGAGAGGTGTGCGCCCTAAAGGAAGTGTTAATAAGTTGCGACTAATCTAATGTAAAACAAAACACTTTCATGGATTATGCAAAAACGATCAAGATTTGCAACAGTCTCATGCCACAGGATTATTGAACAACAAAAATGAATCACAAGAAGAACACTGAATAACTTCTTAGCAAGTGATAATAGTCCTCATATCTCAAATAGATAATGAATCACATGGTGTACCACATTATGCTCGTCTTTAAACAACACATAACAATGCATGGGGTTTTCCTTTGAAATCTTTACAAAGAAAATGCAACTACTTTCAGCCATTCAATAAACAATCTAACATGCAAACCCATGCACTCCAACAAATCAATATTGAATATTGTTAATATTCTTACATCTGCACCTTAGCCTTCTCTGTATCTTTGGGTGCGTTTATCAAATCTTGTCAAGCCTATAATCAGCGTTTTCAAACTTGATTCAGGCAAATTGTGCATGTTGATAAACGCACAAACGTTTTCAAACGTCTTTAATTAGATATAGGCATAATACTAATACTCAGTTTTATATAGCGCTTATTACAATCACTAAGCGCTTCCAAACTTGGAGATTATTACCCCGACTTTAGCCGTGCTGCCATTACGGCGCTCTAGCATTTCAAAGAATTAATTCCTGCCAGGAATATATGTGTATATTAGAAAAACGCTAACAAAAGTGCGTTTTGATACCCACTATGAGCCAGACTCACGTTTCTGAGAGATGATAAACGCAAAGCTGTTTTGGAGCGCGTATACATTATTTCGGTCCCAGGCAAATTTCCGGTTCGGAGAGGGAGCGCGCGCCACAGCTGTGTCATGTTGTACAAACGCACCCTATAATGAATATGTTACCAATATATTACCTCAGAGGTTTACGTTACTTTGTATGAAGAGACAAAATACATGGCCACTATAAACAGGTGGATTATATTATAGAGAGGCAGTCACAAAGACATGATTAACTTTATATGGGCCTGTGCATTCTTGTGGCATCAAAGTTTGGTCCGTAGCCAGAACTCAACCTCTTTAACTATTTTTACCAATATATTACCACATAAGTTCACTTTACTTTGAAGAGAGACAAATACATGGCCAGTATATACAGGTGGATTATACAAAATTATACAGAGGCCTGTGCATTATTGTGGCATCAAAGTTTGGTCCTTAACCATGCAGAACTCAGCCAAATATTACCACAGATGTTCACTTTACTATTGTCTTGAAGGATGGCCATCAAGATGTCAAACCCATCGCTCGAAGGAAGACCTGCGAGTAGTAAAATTACAGAGACAGTCAGTAAAATAAAACTAATATGAATGATTTGAGTCAACATTTTATGCCTTTTAAAATAACTTTTACACAATGTTTTCATAGTAAATTGCTAACGGCTTTCCATAATCCATAAATCTAAGTTAGAGATAAGTTCGACTGATGATCTTTGTGAAATACTCCCAGGGAGGCAGAGACTATTTCTTCACAAAACTACAAATGAGGGATTCCACGCGACGGATCCCGCACAACATTTGTCTTTTTTTTCTTCCATTTATTTCCTTCAAGAATGAAAAACTCAATTGATAATGCATAATATATAGTAAAAGTTCATTGTGGCATTCATTCATTATCTATTGTGTCCAAGTATAAAAGTAAAGTGTCCTCAATGATTTGCATCCATGGATTTATGTGTACAGCCAGGCGCGTACGCAGGGGGGGGGGGGTTTGGGGGGTTAAACCCCCCCCTTTGGAAATTTTTTGTGTGTAAACCCCCCTAAAAAAAACCTAAAACCCCCCCCCCCCCCCTTTTTGGTTTTTTTTTTTTTTTTTTTTTTTTTTTTTTTTTTAATTATTAAACAAAACAAAACAAAAAAAAATTATTCCCATGGCCGACCTAAAAAAGGTGACCTTACCCCCCCCCAACGGAGCAAAATGTCAAATTTCCAAATTTCGAGACCAAAAAAAAAAAAAAAAGTGTCCTCTTACCCCCCCCCCCCCCCCCCCCCCCCCCCCCCCGCTTATTCAGCGGCTGGCTGAGTCGTTGCGAAATTTTCGGACCGATTTATAAATGTTAAAACCCCCCCCCCCCTTTGAAAAAATCCTGCGTACGCGCCTGAGTCGTTGCGGCTGAGTCGTTGCGATTTTTTTGGGACCAAAAAAAAAAAAAATGTGTCCTCTTACCCCCCCCCCCCCCCCCCCCCCCCCCCCCCCCCCGCTTATTCAGCGGCTGGCTGAGTCGTTGCGAAATTTTCGGACCGATTTATAAATGTTAAAACCCCCCCCCCCCCCCCTTGAAAAAATCCTGCGTACGCGCCTGTGTACAGCCACTCAAGCAAAATTACATCACTAGCATATTACAGGTAATGCAGGAAAATTTTCTTTTGAAATCTAAAAGGGGGTATCTCACTGAGCGGCGAATGCTTGCGAACGTAGCGAATTTGGCGTTTCGCCAGGGTTCGTAAACGGTTCGTAAAAGGTTTCAAGAAAGTTCGCAAACAGTTTTCATTGTCGCAAACAGTTTTTCTTGTCGCAAATAAGTTTTGAACATGTTCGAAATTTCTTTGCGAATTTCTTTTTCCGCAAAAGTTGCAAGCGTTGCCAAACAATCGTTAGCCTTTGAAAACGGTTTTAAGACGGTGTCGCTGAAGTTCTTTTTGATTCGCCAATGCTACCGACCACGTGACCATGAGTACCAGGAGTTAGCAAAAGGTCCCAAACATTCACAAATAGTGGCAAAGGATTGGCACATTGTTGCTAATCTTCGCAAAAGCTGTTGCTAACAATTTTGCTCACAGTCGCTAATAGTCGCCAACTGCCTTTCTCACTGAGCAGCGAATGCTTGCGAACGTTGCGAATTTGGATTCGCCAACTTTTCTGACGAATGTTGGCGAAAATCAGCGACATTAAGTGACGTTTAGCGACAATTAGCAACATTTGAGCGAATGTCTCCGAAAGTGTTTGCGAAAGGCAGTTGGCGACTATTAGCGACTGTAAACAAATGTTAGCGACAACTTTTGCGAAGATTAGCAACTATTTGCCAATCCTTTGCCACTATTTGTGAACGTTTGAGACCTTTTGCTAACTACTGGTACTCAATGGGTCGATTTTAAAGGAACCATAATGGTAACGTGGTCGCTAGCTTTGGCGAAACACAGAGAACTGACGAAAACAAAGAGCAAAACCGTTTAACAACCGTTTGCAAAGGCTTACGACTGTTTTGCAAACGCTAACGACTGTTTTGCAAACGCCTGCAACTGTTTGCGGAAAAATAAATTCGCAAAGAAATTTTGAACATGTTCAAAATTTCTTTGCGACAAGAAAAACTGTTTACAACAAAGAAAACTGTTTGCGATCTTTCTTGCAACCTTTTACAACATTTTACAAACTCTGGCGAAACCCCAAATTCGCTACGTTCGCAAGCATTCGCCGCTCAGTGAGATAGGCCCTAAACATTCGCTCAAATGTTGCTAATCATAATTGTCGCTAAACATCGCTAAATTCTCTAAATGTTGCAAAGGCGAACCCTGATTTTCGCCAACATCCGTCAGATAAGCATTCGCTGCTCAGCGAGGTACTATAATGGGGCGCATAAAGGGTCGATGACATACCTTTTGAAATGGGCAGTTTTCATCAGGTAACTCCATGATCTCCTCAAAATGATCTCTACCGGGTAACGTCATCATTTCAACATCTAGACCACTAGCTGCTAGAAGCTAACGGGAAAGAAAGAAGAAGGACGTTGATACCATCTTATCCACAATTCGATAATGTCATACATTAGAAGAATTAAAGTTTGTTATGTGCTGAACGTTATATACTAGATAAATTAAATACTAACAGAAGGAGACAGGCTCATCAAGCGCAAGTCATAATTAAAGAGGCGCTCACTTAAAATACAACACAAATGTTTGTCATTTGATTTTTAAAAGAAGACAATTTAAGATTTGTTTATGAAGGCAAGCTCAAACCATTTGCCTGCCAATCAATAATCGGCTTAAGTCTGGTAGGAAACTGGCGATTAAAATTTGTATAGGGTAACTTAGCCAAAACCTTGAACCAAAGTTGGCTAAGTAATTTACTTAAAAGTAAAGACCGGTAGTGGTAAAATTGCGGTTCAAGGGTTTTGGGTGCAAAATATCCATTCAATATTGTTTAAATATTGCCTTAAGATATTTAGATGGCAATAGTTCAACCTAAATTCGCAAAAAAGCAGACATATGCCCAAATGTTCAATGTTCATCTATCCTGGCCGGATCTGTATAATTTACCACATACATAAATTGAGAAAACTAAGTAAAATACTTATTTTTAAAACTTAAATATTGAATTAAATACCGGCCCAGGTTCATATATTTCAACGTAATTATTCCGTACAAACCTTGCTGTAATCTTGTGCTTGTGTTTGATGTACAGGTGGATCATACTCGGCTACCAGGATGTGAACTTTGACCCCTAGATTGCATGTAGGGATAGCATCCACAAGGAGAAGAGGGCTCACAGAAGACGCACTTGACCTGAAGAAAGATTGAAGGTAATTATCAGTTCTTGTAATTATGGAAATTCTAACAGAATCACACAAATCAAATTCTCATAAACAAATCTTTCAATGGATGCTCATGACTAAAAAGAAATAACATTTGCCAAAATACGATGTACTAGATAAGCAAAAAAGATAGTAAAGAAAATCATATCTTTTAATCTGGTAATGCTAATGGAATCAAACAAACTTTTCCCTGAATAAAAAAAAAAGATAAATGATGAGCAAGAAAATAATATTAATTGTCCTTTTTGTGACATGCACAAGATCAAAGGGTGCAAAAAGATGGGTTGGCATTATCACCCTCCCCTCCAAAATGTGTATATACTGGCGATCTAACCGTCTTTAACCTCCTTCACTATTTCACCCCCATCTCCTCTCTCTCTCTCTCTCTCTCTCTCTCTCTCTCTTAATCTCTCAATGTCTTACACCCTCTTCTCTCCACTCCCGTTTACGATGAAATCATCTCTCCATTATATCTCATTATCTCTCTCTCACACACACACACACACACTCACTCCTCTTCTACTCTCCGGCTCCCTGTCTCTCTCTCCCCCTCTCTCTCTTGATCTCCCCCTCTTTCTCTCTAATACTTACTCTGTAAGAAGCAATGGCTCGTTGATGTAAGTTTTTGTAAGAGGTCGAACATCAAATACAGCAGAAATAGGAAGGATACCTACATACAAATTACAAAGAAAATAAAACGTATATATTACTTGGAGTGACATCAAACGAACATTTAGAATATTATGATTGTAAAAGAATGCATATATGTATTGCTAAATTTTGTTGTGCCTAGTTTTAGTAATGAAAATGATGTGGTTTGGAAACTACTAATTTTGCAAAGCCGTTACACAAAACAATCCTTCCGTCGATTGAAAGCAACCAATGTGCTAACACCCCAACTGCAACCCGAAACCTAAACCCTATATACTTTTGACGAAATTATGCCTGCAGCATATGTCGTAGGATTAGTTTTGACCATCACCTTTGACAAGGTTCTTGCTTCCCTCAAGAAGGCTTGACCAGTCTACGGACAGCATCATGGCCGACAGATGACCACCAGCCGAGTGACCGGATATGAAAATCCCTCTGTGATTAGAAAAAGGACAATTAAATTTGAATTAAACAGGCATTTAATTTTGTCTATGATAGTTTTGAATTATGTTTCACAATTCAGGAGTACCATTGTCATGAGAAAGTACACGAAAAAAAATATACTAAGAGCAATGTATTATTCGAATGCCAGCACATAGTACTCAACTCCATGTGCAACAATCACATGGCTGTATAAGAAATATTTTTAGTCAATTGTTTTAGTTTGACCTATTCTGTAGTGTTTGTATAATAACACAACCTTAAATCAATTTAAAGCACTTAAAAAATACAGAATTTTACAAGTAAAAACTTGTTTACATGTGACGCAGCAACCAATTTTGTTCTTCTTCCATGATATGCCCCCCAAAATTAATCTCCCTGTGCCACATGGAAAAAGGATAACAAAAAGCTTACTTCAACATTACACGGTTATCATGGAGCTGATCAAGACTGGATATTGGTGTTTTTAAAAAGCCATTGTGTTGCATTGTTTCGTAAATAGGTGCCCACTGTTTTGTGCAAATTTTCACATGTGGCAAATGAGCATTGCAACTGCACAGAGAGGCAACAAAAGCAACTGAAGTGTTAATGTAGAAGTGAATGGCAAGTGTTGGTGAAGCAAAAGGTAGTTGCACGCAACAAAGGTCCAAGACGTACTTTCTTATTATGTGTGTTAACAACTATAGATATGTAATGCGAATTATGCTTATCTCATTTAATTTTGCCTTGCTGGAAAACCAAAGCGGTTTATCGCATAATAGCGTTATTCATAGCTTCGTACAGTTATTTTTTGTTCTAACCTAGTTTCTGGAAATCTTTTGGCCACAAAAACCACAGCCTTTTTAACCTGTTCCACAATTTCATGTAGAGTACCTATATACAGATATAAAATTGAAAACAAAACAAAAACATGGACAAATTGCGAATTTTCAACAATAAATTTGAAAACTCCACTGCTGTAAAAATGTTCTAATTATCTGTAAGTAATTAAGGAAATGAGTATGTATATGAATGAAATGTCATAACTAGACACATCCTTCTTTTAAAGCAATGTTTTATTGCATGAAAATTAAAGGAAACAGCACTCAGCTCTGCATGTGTTATAAGATGCTGAAATGTGAAGCGTATACGTCACCTAAACAAAATGCTACGGTTTTGTCACGTCTGTAGCCTATGGTTATGATGAAATGGTACATTTAGCTTCCACAGTGTATCCTATAGGTGCCGTATCCCTATACGGTACTCATGCCCTTTCGCAATTAAGGCATTATTTACATTTGCCACTCCATACCCAGGAGAGAAATGGGGACCTGGTAGGATGACGAAGGCCTTTGTGATAGTAATTGCCATATGCTTCCACGGTGACCATAATGATAGGAATACTCCCCATGGAATGAAGATGGTTCACATTGTGCATGAACGAATCTGATGACCGGAAAATAACATTTGTAAAGCACTTAGAGACGAAACCCTTATACATATGGTTCTTATGAAAAGGTACCATTGTCTCAAACAACCATTGTTTGATACCAGGGTACCATGGTTCGAATGGTGAATGGTAATTTGGACAAAGAACCATCGTTACCATGGTAATTTTTTAATAAGGGATAGTACAGCACTTAGAGACGGTATTTCATATTAAGCGCTACATAAATCCAGATTATTACAATTTCCCAAATTGGCAACACTTACGCTCAGGCGCTAAGGTATGTCCAACCGTGACCAACACAGCACCATTCTTGATGAGAGGACCTCCCATTAAAGAGCTATTATCCTTACTGCCAGCAAAACACAAACAGAGAAAAATGTCAAATGTCACATCAAGGCCAGGGTCAAGTGTCATAAATCTTTTGCATGGTCAATATCAGTAACAATGCTTTATAGGATACTCAAATAATTGCTTATCAATGGCTATGTTCAAAAGTTTTATAAAGCTATATGTTTGACTATAGCTGATTGACTGGAAAATGATGTCATGGGTTCCAGCCCCAGCATAGCACTTATGTCCTGCAGCAAGGCGTTTAATCTACTGCATTTTATCATCATTGCTTCTCTCCACCCGGGTGTTGATTGGGTAGGCCTACCCGGGTGGATATGAATGTCAGTTTGGTTGGAAAGGCATGTCCGCGCCCATTAAAAGGCGACTAGCTTGGTAGCTCCCCAGAGAGTGGAGAAAGTACATTATGATGTACAGAATGGTAATTTGAATCCGCTGACCGGGGTAGTAATAATAATACATGTAATACTGTTAGCCCTTTTGTCATTAAATGGCTAAGTGCAATTAAGAAAAACGAGTATTATTATTATAACACTGAGGGTGCCCTATGTCTGACACAGCTAGGGCCCTTGTATTATAAAAGGTACTGTGTAATAAATGAATCAATGAATATACATGTATGAATTAATGAATATACATGTATAAATAAATGAATATGCATTTATGAATAAATATGCATGTATGGAAAATCAATGATCGATATGCATGTATGAATAAAATAATGTGGGCTTATTCATAAATGTAGGCCTATATAATTATGATTGAAGAAGCAATACCACTGCAACATAAGAGGATGGCTTTTGAAAGCTTGATAAAAACATACATTTCAAATCTTACAATACGTTTTTTTTTCTTCCTGAGAGGTCATAATTATCACCCAGTCCCACATATTGACATCTGCGTTTATTCAACACATCATTTTCAGGTCAACACTCGTTTTAATGATTTGATTTCAACGATTTACGGTGTGATGTGCTAAAATCTTTGCAAAAGGAAAAGAACTTCACCACATTTCCTTTATCTGCCAGTAGCCTCCATGAATAAACATAAACACAGGTGCATCTGAAAAGATCAATGTTAAAAATAGTTTCATCAAAGTTGGAGATTAATAATGATAATTATAATTAGTTCTTAGTGGGTTCTTGTCTAGCGCACATGTGTGTGTCAGACTTGACGCTCCTTATGTTCAAAGTATATTACATTATTATGTAAAATAAAATCTTGTAAATATGTCTCTTTTACTACAGAGTTATATTTATGTGTTTACACCAACTTGTTCATAATTATGCTTTCAATTTTTGGTAAAACATCTTCAGTCTTGGTAAAACGATTTCAGATATATCAACTTGTTTAGAATTTGCAGGTAGCGGAAATACCTCTTAAAATTTGTATGAGCAAGAACCAGGTATAAATATCAAGAATACTTAAATACCATTTATACAGAACATACCACTTTTGAGGGAGGGGGTGGCATATACAAGTATACTCCCTCCCCAACTTTTCTAAGGAAAAATTAATTACAAAATCAATCAGTTGTTACAGTTTTTACAAGATTTTTACAAGAGTATTATGAGTGACTCTAATGGTAGTAACAAGTTATCTTTGAAATGCTATGAACGTAAACTAAAAATACTTTTAGAACATCCTAAAACAAATATATATCACATCCATCTCTTTAATTCTAGAATCGTGTGTTCATGTGTTAAATTTCGACGCCTAATCATGACCATTCACCCCCCCCCCCCACCCTCTCAAAAAATGAAATGGAAGCTCTTATTACCAATCATGTGAAAGAATATGTTTTGACTAATACGTGATGATACAAATTTTGCCGGGAAACCGCCTACTAATAATATTTGGTAAATTATCATATCGATCCGGCCTGGATAGATATCACGAATGCACTTCGACATTGAACATTTGGGTATATATTTCTGCTTTTTTGCGAATTTAGGTTGAACTATTGCCATCTAAACCTCTGAAGGCAATATTTAAACAATATTGAATGGGTATTTTGCACCCAAAACCCTTGAACCGCAATTTTACCACCACCGGCCTTTACCTTTAAATACAGATGCTCTCCTGTTTCCACAAACAGGAGAAATACAAGTTGCTTTGTGTACAAAATCTCACAAGTATAGCAGCAGCAGCAGCTAAATCCGGTGTCAGCATGGAGTTAATTCACAACTACCTGGTCTCAGCAGGGGCGTAAATCCGTACCGAGGAGAGGGGGGGGGGGGGGGATGATCGGCGATAGCCATCACATACTAGCACGAGCACACGCCCACACTAATTTACGCAAGCGCGCGATCGCGCACGCACAAACACACAACACACACACACAAACGCACACACACACACACGCACACGCACACACACAAACGAACAAACAACAATATTAGAGAAAGAAGACGATTCGTTGTTCCGTTCTCGACTCTTAATCCTCGTCTGAATTCAGTTCCCCCTCCCCTCCCGCGCGAAGCGCGGAAGCTTTTACGTTTCATAAAATCATTGGAGAAAGAAGACGATTCGTTGTACCGTTCTCGACTCTTAATCCTCGTCTGAGTTTAGTTCCCCCCCCCCCCCTGAATTCAGTTTTTCCCTTCCCCCCCCCCTCCCTCCCGCGCAAAGCGCGGAAGCTTTTACGTTTCATTAAATCATTAGAGAGAGAAGACGATTCGTTGTTCTGTTCTCGACTGTTAATCCTCGTCTGAATTCAGTTCCCCCCTCCCCTCCCGCGCGAAGCGCGGAAGCTTTCACGTTTCATTAAATCATTACGAAAAGAAGACGATTCGTTTTACCGTTCTCGACTTTTAATCCTCATCTGAATTCAGTTTTCCCCTTCCCCCCTCCTGCGCGAAGCGCGGAAGCTTTTACGTTTCATTAAATAATTAGAGAAAGAAGACGATTCGTTGTACCATTCTCGACTCTTAATCCTCGTCTGAATTCAGTTCCCCCCTCCCCTCCCGCGCGAAGCGCCTAAGCTTTTACGTTTCATTAAATCATTAGAGAAAGAAGACGATTCGTTGTACCGTTCTCGACTTTTAATCCTCATCTGAATTCAGTTTTTCCCTCCCCCCCCCCCCTTTCCTCCCGCGCGAAGCGCGGAAGCCTTTACGTTTCTTTAATCATTAGAGAAAGAAAACGATTCGTTGTACCGTTCTCGACTTTAATCCTCATCTGAATTCAGTTTTTCCCTTCCCCCCCCCCCCTCCCTCCCGCGCAAAGCGCGGAAGCTTTTACGTTTCATTAAATCATTACGAAAAGAAGACGATTCGTTTTACCGTTCTCGACTTTTAATCCTCATCTGAATTCAGTTTTTATCTTCCCCCTCCTGCGCGAAGCGCGGAAGCTTTTACGTTTCATTAAATAATTAGAGAAAGAAGACGATTCGTTGTACCGTTCTCGACTCTTAATCCTCGTCTGAATTCAGTTCCCCCTCCCCTCCCGCGCGAAGCGCCTAAGCTTTTACGTTTCATTAAATCATTAGAGAAAGAAGACGATTCGTTGTACCGTTCTCGACTTTTAATCCTCATCTGAATTCAGTTTTTCCCTTCCTCCCCCCCCCTTTCCTCCCGCGCGAAGCGCGGAAGCTTTTACGTTTCTTTAATCATTAGAGAAAGAAAACGATTCGTTGTACCGTTCTCGACTTTAATTCTCCTCTAAATTTAGTTTTTTCCTCCCCCCCCCCCCTTCCCTCCCGCGCGAAGCGCGGAAGCTATTACGTTTCATTAAATCATTAGAGAAAGAAGACGATTCGTTGTACTGTTCTCGACTTTTAATCCTCATCTGAATTCAGTTTTTCCCTTCCCCCCCCCCCCCCCCCCCCCCTCCCTCCCGCGCAAAGCGCGGAAGCTTTTACGTTTCATTAAACCATTAGAGAAAGAAGACGATTCGTTGTACCATTCTCGACTCTTAATTTCTTTAAAAAGGAGGTGGGTTTTTTTCTCTCTCTATTTGAACTCCTGAGAAATGTAAGAAGGGGGTTATAAAATATCTTGAATATCATAGAAAAATTGATCAAATCCCGGGATCAAATTCCTGAAATTCCTGCTAGCTTTGAAAGCTCATTCAGAATTATTTCATTTTGAAAATTAAAAGCATTGCCCCTCAGTCCCCCTCGATCGACTAGAGCTCACCTGAAATCGGGGGGGGGGGGGGGGTGTGGTACATTTAGCAGTGATCCGGATTTTTTTTTTTTTTTTTTTTTTTTTGGGGGGGGGTCTCCAAAATAGGAAAAGCCAGCGAAAAGCCGGCGAAAGGGGGATTCAGATATGTTGGCAGTCCTGACATAGGGTGGGGGTGCTTTCAAAGGGAGGGAACGAGCGTACGCGTACCCTAAATAACACTAAGTGGGAGCCGGGCATCTACTGTACATGATTGCACTTTTTAAGCGCTCGCGCGCTCGCGCACTTTACGTCTGGGCTATAATAATACCTTGCAAAATAACGAAAAATTATTCTGAAGTTTATGAAGTGCTTGTTCGCGCACGTCGCCAACTATTCTTAATGATAGTGACATACTGTATACGTGTAGGCTATACAGTTTTACATACATAAAAAATAACTAATTTCTCATGCATTATGCTGAAATTGAAACAATCACATTTTTTCGTCTTCTTCTTCTTCTTCCTTTTTTGTCTCTCTTTTTTTTTGTAATATCAGGGGGGGGGGTGATTGTACAGGCCACCCCCCCCCCCCTACCTCAAGCCAGGGGGGATGCAGCCCCCCCCCCCATCCCCCGGGATTTACGCCCCTGGGTCTCAGCATGGACCTAGCATAATAGGTGCATGGTACTATATGCCTGTTTTCATCAGCTAGAGTCTGCCAAATAACCCGCTATTTTCAGACTCTGGATATATTATCCCGAAGCTCGAAATTGCGTTTTCACCAGACCGATACGCTCATCACAAACTAGCTCGGACGGGCACAAAATTAATTAGCCCGCTATTTCCCCAAAAGCGAGATATTTTGGAAACAACACCAACAGTTTCCGGGATGTTTTCTCGACCTAATATCCTGCTAATTGCAACTGCGATTTGATGAGGACGCAAAATAACTGGTTAATTTTGCGATCGGGATAGTTAAATTAGCGGGTTATTTGGCAAATTCGAGCTGATGAAAACAGAGACTTAGAAAGCTTTCTATCATATTATTTTTGATTTAGAATTTATGATGATGGCTTTTCCTTATGGGCTGTTCTCTTGAGGTATGTAGTGCTTGCATTAAAAAAAGCCTGTGGTTCTTAAAAGTGAAGTCCACCATCACTGATTGATCGATAAACTTCATTATTGGGCCAAGCTATAAAGCGCGTAAAATTTTCGATAAGAATCACGACTTGTCCTTCAGTTACAAAACAATTTTTTATTATTACACTTGTAATAAAAAGAAGAAAGATAATATAGTAATAATTATAATAATAATGATTAAAAAATGATCAACAAGAAGATAATATTAATGATTATAATATTTATCTTTAAAAAAAAAATAATGATAATGATGATGATAATTATATAAATGATACTCATAATAATATTGATAATGAATAATATTTTTAAAATGATAAAAATGCATTTAATGATTTTTCAATACGAATTTTTAAATGTGCTTTGCATATATTAGCGGAATAGGTTATTTTTTGTAGATTCTTTTCGAAGACGAGAAGAAGTTGTTGGTAGGGCGGAATTTGAGGTAGATGATAGAAACAAGGACAGAAGATGAAAAAGGGTAAAAGACGTCTATAATTCACAAGCCAAAGATAATCTAAATAAATTTGTCTGCTAAAAAGTTCAGGCGGAGACGGTGGAGTGTCATGGTGAAATGGTTCATTCACTTGAATCTCGTTCTAGCCCAGCACTAAGATCCTTTGGCAAGACATCAATCAATACTTGCCATCCTCCACCCAGGTGTAAATGGGTACTCAATAATCATGACAGAGCACTACATTATTTGGTCACTTACTTTTATGAACAATGTCTATTTTGTGTTTTATATTATTCTATGTTGATTCGACAAACAAACAGACAAACAAAATGAATACATGATTATTGCTTATTATTCAATAAGTAAACACCAATGTAAATGAATTTACCTTTATCAGCTGCTACGGGTGAAAATATGTCTACTTTTTCTCTTTCTTCGCTTCCGTATTCCACGTTAAGCTGTGCTTGGGAAGGGCCTAGCTCTGCTACAAACTTTGCTGATTCTGCAAATGAACATTAAGAAAATAATTTACTTATATTTAAACACAAGATATGTTATATGAGTATGACACAGATTCTAATAATATATATATATATATATTATTATTATTTATAAAAACACTACGACTACTAGGCCTACTACTACTACTACTACTACTACTACTACTACTACTACTAGCCTACTACTACTTCGTACTACTACTACTACTACTACTACTACTACTACTACTACTACTACTACTACTGATACTACTACTACTAATAATACTTGAAATAATTTTGTTTGAAGGTATCGACCAGTTCTGGTAATGTGATTGTATTGTGAAAGAAACGTTGTAGAATCGATCAGAAAAGTTTGATCATCTAACACATAAGTATTGGTGTGTACTGCAAGGTACTGGAATCATCAAAATGATAAGAAATTTGGCCCAGTCTTGGTATAGTTACAAGCACTGTACACAGAAAGACGCATATGGGACTACTCGATATCTATCCAGGCCGGATAGATATGTTAATTTACCAAATATATCAATTAGTAGGCGATTTCCCGGCAAAATTTGTATCATCAAGTACTAGTCAAAACATATTCTTTCACATGATTGGTAATAAGAGCTTCCATTTCATTTTTTGAAATTGGGGCGTTTCCAATACTGGTCTTTACCTTTAACTATGACAGGCCATAATATGCCACTGGTTGCTCTCACCACTATGATCTTTAGATAATGAATTATCAAAAAATGTAGATTTGTGACCATGATTTGAGAGGGGGGCGTTTCCAAAACTGGTCTATACCTTTAAGTAGCAGATAGGAGAGTATCACTTCAAATTTTAGCTCCCCGGTGATCTGTTTCTCCTCGACTTCGTATATAGGGGAGCAGTATAGTTTCAAGATCACTTTGGGCAATAGTAAGACCGTGCCCCATACAGAAGTCAGTATTTGTACAGCAGGAGGTGTTCCACAAAGACAGATCGACTTTAAGTTGGACTTAACTATGGCAGGCTGTTCATGCCATTGTTTGTTCTCACCGTTTACTGCCATTGGTCTCTCAAGGGACATATAAATCGTGGTCACAAATCTATAGAACTTACATTTTTTTTAAAGTTAATTATTGAAGAAAAAAAATATCTAAAGACCATTATCGAGAGACCAATAGTGAGAGCACAGTGGCATGAATAGCCTGCTATAATTAAGTTCAACTTAAAGTCGATCTTAGTGTTTGTGAACACCCCCCCCCCCCTCCCCTGAAGACTAATTCGATTGATTACCTTCATCAGAACGTTTTAAGAAATCTCCAATGATCTCTTTTCGGCTCAGCTTGCGCTTAGTCCAACTGCTGCAAGTATAGGCCACACCTAAAGTCTGATAAACAAATGAGGAAACAGAAGAAAAATGTCTGATATTGATTGCTGAGATTTGACATTCTTTGCCACGATGTATTATTTAAAATACACCTTGGTGCTGCAATTATAATCATTTTGTAGTACTAAAAGTGTGGTTAAAGGTAATACAAAGTTTTGGTATGGGATCATGAATTTGGTTCAAATGAACATATTGGAAGCATAATGCGATTTTGCAATATTCAATGATCGTTGTCGCGGTTGAAATCGAGTCTAAAGTGATGAAATTGTGAATAGTAGTGGACTGGTGGTTATTTTACCTGACTGCTAAGAAAGCATAATTGCTTGTTTAGTAATAGCAACCAGAGGACCGTTCTCATCCTCATTCTAAATACCATGTCCATCGGAGAGGACTTAGAACCGTCAGTTCCCTGGTTGCTTACTTACAATAATATACATGCTTTCTTTAATATACAGCAGTGTCGGGTAAAACAAACCATCAAACCAGAGTATGTATATCTAGTGCAAATTCCAGATGTTAAAATCATTGATATCAATTTGCTTTTTCTTCCAATAAAAGGTCTTGCCAATGCTGCCAAAGCGACCCCAGCTACATACCCCCCCCCCCCCCATACATGTATGTACAGCAGAGTATTTCAAAGCATGACTGTTTGTTGGGCGTTTGTTCTACTCCTCCTTCTTCTCCTTCTTCTTCTTCTCCTACTACTCCTCCTCTTCTTCTTCTTCTTCTTCTTCTTCTTCTTCTTCTTCTTCTTCTATATATTTCTCTTTTTCTTTCTTCACTAAACCTGTAAGTTCAGCTGGGGGATGTTTCACAAAGATGCCAAGTCAGTCAAACTTAAATCTAAGTTGGACTCAAACATCATGGATAGCCATTTTGTAGCCTTAAAATTAAATATATTCAAAAGCGCAAATTCAAGTATTTTAGACTTTTTATAAATTCCACATCAAGAACATGAAATCTACTTGATAATAGAAAATATGAATGAGTTGAATCAACATTGTATGCCTTTTAAAATAACTTTTACAAAATATTTTCATAGATGCTAACGGCTTTCCATAATTTTTAAGTCCAACTTAGAGATAAGTTCAACTAAGGATCTTTGTGAAACACCCCTCTGGTCACAGTCTGGTGTACGTTTCTCGTATGATGGGATGACCAAAGTTTGCAGAGAAAAAAAGAAATGTTAGGAAATGTGGTACATGATTGTATTCGATCCAATATTTCTCATACTCTACACACATTCATTTAGTTCAATTATTAGTAAATGGATTGCAAAGTTTTCTTTACTAACAATTGGTGCAACTAGAACAATTATCGTCAAAGAATTCGATGTCGGACCGGCATGCGGTCAACTAACGAAGAAGTCATTTAAAAAAACGAGACCTTTAATTCGCGCACGGGAGTTTACATCTGATTTATCAAAAAAGAAACGATCCATCAAAATGTAAGATATTTGCATAATTTGCAAGGCAAAATATCGGTTCCATGACACATGCTCCGCCGACGATTGCTCCGCCGACATTTACTCCGCAAAACGCGACGATTGCTCCGCGACAGTTGCTCCGCGACAGTTGCTCCGCCGACAGTTGCTCCGCCGACATGTGCTCCGCCGACATGTGCTCCGCCGACAATTCCTCCGCCGACATTTGCTCCGCCGACATTTGCTCCGCCGACAATTGCTCCGCCGACAATTGCTCCGCCGACATTTGCTCCGCCGACAATTGCTCCGCAAAACGCGACAATTGCTCCGGTGACATTTGCTCCGCCGACAATTGCTCCGCCGACAATTGCTCCGCCGACATTTGCTCCGCTAAAAAAGTGCCCCGTAAAATACAAAGGCTACTACGACAATAATTGTTGCTTCTCCCCAAAAGTACCCCGCAAAAGACAATGCTCCGCCGACAATTAAATTGCTCTCTGATCCAAAAGTGCGGCCTCGTGGAAGACATGAATGCTCCTCTGGCAGTTAGTGCAATAAATGCTCAGCCGTTTTTTGCTATTCCCCATAATGTTTGATTTAAAAAAACATCAAGTTTTAGCTCCTTATGCAAGTTCTCCAGCGAAAGATAATTACTCCGCTCAAAATCTGTTTCATTTATTACTCATTAGCCGATCAAAAGCTCAAGGATATCTCTCTCTCTCTCTCTCTCTTGCTCTTTCTTTTCCTTTTTACACCCTTTTCTTGTCTTCTTAGCTCTTTTCTTTCCTCTCATGCTATTAGTCTTCTTTCATTTTCATCACTTCTTCTTTTCTTCCCCTCTCGAGTTCTAGTTCTCTCGTGAAATTGTAACGTAATGTAGTACATGTAGTACATTCTTGTTTAGAATAGTATTTTCAATAATATCCAGTCCGTCTTCTATAGGTTTCTTTCCTTCAGTTAAGTGTATGTAGCTTTACTATATAATATATTAGTGTGTAAAACACCCCGTCTCATTCGAGTACTTTGTTTTCACTGACTTTAAGGGACTCACGGAACCACCGGAAGAAGAGCAATTGGCTTATCGTGAAGAACTGACATCAAACTGCAACAAAATGATTTGTATAAATGGGAATAAGCAAAAAGGCTGCCATCTAATTTTCCCGTCTGAATGGGTTCTCTTCTTTACGTATAAGTGCCCTTTAAAGCTTATTTTGATCCCTCCCCTGTTGCTTTCTAGAACTTCCACGATGACCTAATACATTGTATCAGGGGCGTCGCTAGACCTTTTTCAGTGGGGGGGGGGGGGGGGGGGGGGGGGGGTGTAGAGGCCAACGATTACCGACAAAACTAGCCACCAATTACCGACAAAATTAAGTGTCTCAATATCTACAAATAACCCTATAAACCCGGGGCCGAAGGCTAAATTGTTTTTCCTATGGACTATCTATAGTACTTGCGTATGCGCAAATGATCAATTTCCTCGACGACATAAATATACGAATTATTTTGTCAACCTAGTCAACATCATAGCTATATATTTTAATGCAGGCGCGGAGCTAGGATCTTATTTTAGGGAGGGGCGGTAGTGAGCAAGCGAAGCGCGCTCGTTAGGGGGTGTCGGTGTTAGGCCTCGCTAAATTATTAGGAAAAGAAGACGATTTATTGTACCGTTCTCGACTCGTCTAAATGAAGTTTTCCCCTCCTGCGCGAAGCGCTGAAATTTTGGCGTTTCATCAAAATATAGAGAAAGGAAGACGATTCGTTGTATCAGGATGACGGTAGTGAAGTAAGAGAAAGGACTCAAGAAAAGATGAAAACACAGGTACTGAAAATGTGTGAGATGTCATGGGGCATCGTCTGCTTGTGCAAGTCATGTCCATACTGTGATCTCACACATCTCAGTAGCGTTCGGAGAGCTCTTCCGGTGCTATGCCCATGCTGTATTTAAGCGTTTTGTAATTTATAATAATCGTTACTTCGAATATTTCCAAGCATTGAATTTTGATAAACTTGTCGAATCAAAGTTTCAACTTTGCAATAATAAAATAAATTTATTTTTTAAAATCAATGAATATCAACTTTAAGATAAATTGCCGTGTGCACGAGCACATGTAATACAGAGCATATATAGGCAAAAACATGATTACACAAAATCCATCACAGCTCTTTGGGATGCACCTAGACCCCCAATTGTTCTTTTATTTTGATTAAATGAGTCGGAGATATGATTTCATTTCTCATTTGGCCATTAAGTACATTTTAACGTCATCATAATGGCCTTGGAAGTCAAAATACGAATTTGCATATTATGACGTCAACATATTTACAGAAAATGATTGTATCTCTGCAAATATTGATCAATTTTCTTCTAAATTTTGATACGTTGTAGCTGAGACAATTCTTCACAAGATTATTACCAATATTTATTCATTTTGATGACGTCATTAGATTGTTTGCTTAATATCCGTCTTATGCCTATGGGAGGTGAATGATACTACATTCCAGTCTAGACTTGTTCATTATGTTGCGTATGTAGTGCGTCGAAATATCAGTTCAATGATTGGTAGGCTCTGCAATCAGGCGAAAATTTGAGCTTGTTTAGTAAATTAATCATATAACAATTGTCTATCGAATTCATGAAGGGGGCGCTATACCACTTTTAATCATTTTCATCGTCATTTAAAACAAATAAATCATCATCATCAATATCTTTATTATCGTATTTATGAATATTATAATTAGATCATCATCGACACACTTTCATGATACAAAATTAGCATACGTATCACCTAATTCGTCAAAGTGACGAATTAAAGTCTAGTTATAATTGTTAATCAAATCATTATTATCATCTGTATTATCAGCATTCTACAATGGCAGTAGTATAATATATTCATGTAGAAGTAGGCCTAGTAGTAGAGGTATCATTCTGATCCTTATTATCCTGATTATCTTTTGCAATACGTCTATATAGACGATAAACTCACGACAATTTACAATTGTCATGAATCATTGTCTTTAAGCTTACCATTAAATGCATCTGGTTCGAATTTTGCTCAGGTATTTGGTACGTGATGATTTAAATGGTAGAAATGAACTTGTGTCCTATTCATTCTAGTCTTATTCATTTGCATTATGTTTTATTCATTCAAGTTCTAATATTTCTGACTGTTTTCAAGACAATATTTTTTTTGTCGATCATAGTTCTATGTAGCTTGATATCTCACGGTAATTTTGAGAGAAAAGCAATGCAAGCAATGATTTCAGAATTGTAGCGACAATCGCGTTCGCCTTTGCTGTTCTTCAATAATATTTGACAAGCAGTATTAATTAATTTTTCAAGGACTCAAGATACATTCGTTTAACAGTTGATTACCCTCGGTTGATTCTTTTGTTCGGATTATTTGGCGGGGAAAATGTATTATTGAAAATGTATTAGTGAATGTATTATTATTCTTATTTGTTCATCGTCTCTACGATGCCCTTTGAAACAAAAACAGCTTTTAGTGTTAGGCTTCCTGAAAGAAATTTCAATTGTTGTTAAGAATTTTTTGGTTGCACTCTGTAGATTATGATG